CTGATGTAGAGAGATAACGGAAATGGCTATTCAATTTTCCTCCATTGATGGAGAGAAATTAAGATATTGTGCTATTGTTAAGAAGTGGATGTTTTTGAGATATATTTATCAGTGGGTTTATATACAATAAGTCTTAGAGAAGACATGGTCTCTTGTTTTTCCGTGTATTTTTAATATAGGAGATTAAAACACACCCCACTTAGTGTAGCACAATGAAACAGGCGTTTAATATATAATACATATAGCCTGCCTGTGATAAATTTATTCCTATTAATATAGGAGATTAAAACATAATCCACTTAGTGTAGCACAATGAAACAGGCGTTTAATATATAATACATATAGCCTGCCTGTGATAAAGTTATCATAATAAAGACATTTGGAGTGACGAGCCATGTGTATATTGGAAAGTAAGACTGGCAAGGTACCAAATAAGTGATAGCTTTTTTTTAATTAGGCAGTTAAGTTTTTAAAATTATTGTAGTAAACTCATTACTTTTTCCCATATGGGTTCTTACTTGAAAAATTCCATGCAATTGAAAAAAAAGAGAAAAAATTGAATGAGCAAAAAACTGAATGTAGAGTGTTGTATATTTTTTAAAATTGAGTAACATCTTTTTTACAGTGTTGTTAATGAATCTGAATCCATCTCATGCCCACTGTATTTAGTTGAGTAATAAATATTGAATAACCCCCATATTAATGAGCATTAGTTGCTATAACATTATAAATTTATTTCTTGTTCATGTAAAGTCCAAAGGGTGGCCAATGTTGGGCCTGGGATAGGTTGGCAAAGAGAGTGAAGGATTGTATGGATGGTTTTCATAGGCAAGTCCTGAAAGTAGCAAATGTCACACCTGCTGGCATCTCACTGGCCAGAACTCAGTCACATGGTCATGTATAGCAGCAAGGGAGTCTGGGAAAGAGTCTAGTTGTAACAACTTCTGTCAAAGCTCATATTATGTGAAAGTACCATTCCAGGTGCTGCGGAGATCTGTTATAAGCCAAAACTACAGCTCCTGTTCTCCAGAAGCTTACTAAATTCATAGGAAGTTAAGACATATGTTTTCTAGATATATAATTATACTAGGTAGTGAAATGCAAAGTGGAAAAGGACTTGGAGCTCCAGAGGCTTCAGACAGAGAGAGAGAGAAAGAGAAGTTGAGAGCTCACATTGAGGGCTCAGAGAGTGGATTCTCACTGAAGAGGTGGAATTTAAACTGACCTTCAAGGCACATGGAATTGAGATAGGGAAGACACAAAGAGGCAGTGATTAGATATAGTGATGGTTAATTTTATGTGTCAATTTCACTAGGCCATAGGGCATCCAGATGTTTGGCCAAAGATTATTCTGTGAGTGGGTTGGGGTATAGTGTGTGTATGTGGGGAGGGGGGTGTTTCTGGATGAGACTAACACTTTAATTGATAAACTGAGTAGATTGCCCTCCCTAATGTGGATGGGTCTCATCCAACTAATTGAAGATCTGAATAGAACAAAAAAAGCTGAGTAAGAGAGAACTCCTTCTGCCTGATTGCTTGAACTGGGACATCGGTCTTTTCTGGCCTCTGTACTTGGACTGAAACATTGGCTCTTCTTGGGTCTTGAATTCTGAAGACTGGAACTCATACCATTGGCTCTCCTGGTTCTCAGAACTTCAGACTCAGTCTAGAACTACATATCAGTTCCCCTGGGTCTCCAGGCTGCTGACTACAGATCTTGGGACTTCTTAGCCTCCATAATTGTGTGAGCCAACTCCTTATGATAAATATCTCTCTCTCTTTCTCTCTCTTTCTCTCTCTCTCTCTCTCTCTATATATATATATATATACACACACACACACACATCCTATTGGTTCTATTTCTCTGGAGACCACTGACTAATACAGATAGGTTTTTTTTGTGTGTTTGTTTGTTTTTAAGAGATAGGTCTCATTCTGTCACCCAGGCTGGAATGCAGTGGCATGATCATAACTCACTGCAGCCTCAAACTCTTGGGCTCAAGCCATCCTCCTTCTGAGTAGCTGGGACTATGGGCATGTGTCACTGCATCGGGCTAATTTTGTTTTTTTTCACTTTTTTAGAGACAAGGTCTCACTGTGTTGTCCAGGCTGGTCTTGAACTCCTGGCCTCAAGCTATCCTCCCACCTCAGCCTCCAAGTCACTGGGATTACAGGTGAGAGCCACTGTGCTGGGCATAATATAGACAAGTTTTGCTGGAATAAAAGAGATAAGATAAGATAATAAGAGATAAGTAAAGAAGTATATTGTGAAAAGGCATTTGTAGTGAGGGCGGGATGTTTGACTCCAGTCATTCCATTTCTATAGCTTCCTTTAGAACAATTAACTGTGGAGCAAGACTATAGGCAACAGAGTGTCGTCGGACCTTATAGTGAAAGTATTCAGCTTATTATCACTTGTGTCCTAATTTATTTTAATGCTTTTTTTCTCTCCTCCCTCTTTTCCCTTCCTCCAGATCTTCTTTTCTTCTTTCCCTCCTTCCTTGCCCAATCAGTCAAATACCACCATCCGTGAAACTCAGACTACAAACTCTGTAGATTTGTAATACATGCAACTTTGGAGAACAGAGGAAAAGAGAATTGCTCCTATTTGAACAGGCAAAGCAGTAAGCCACTGCTTGCTTGGCATATGTACATTATTTAATCCATTTAGCCTCAATATCTTTATGAGCCTTAAAGGTTATAGACAAAATAATGGTTCATTATATACCATTTTCAGAACAAAAACAAATGGGCTTTATTAGCAGTAAGGATTTGTATTTTAGATTGAGAATTCTGGATTAGATTTACTTATCAAGAGAGTTTATAGAAATGCAAAAGCCTAAATCAGATAATCTTTTATTATGTGATTTAATTTCCATTCTAAAGACAAATGTGATCTCTTTACCCTAATTATTAAGTTCTTTTACAAAATTCTCTTTGTTATGATTAATTAATATAGTGGCTTCCAAATCTGGGAGGCTTGTTAAAATGCAAATTTTTAGACTCTACTGTAGAGATTTCGATTAAATAGTTTGGGGGTAGGGTCCAGAAATCTGTACTTTTAAGAAGTTATACTGTATTATTATTTAGAACAAGTAGAAATAAGCTTTTGGGAACCATGGGTTTATGGTACTATTGCAATTTGGTTGCTATGGTAAGTTGGTAACAATTGTCCATAATTTGCAATAAATAGTAAATGCTAGTTTATAATGGAAGGAAGACAGAGATCAAGAGAGGATCCATTAGATGAATGATAAAATTAGGGTTTCCAAGGTCCTAGATCTTTCATAAGACTATGGATTAAGAGGCAATTACCTCTGCCCAGCTTTAATGTGGAGAAAAAAAAAAAAAGCAATTACCAAGAAGACCTGCTGAAGACTTCCATCCTAAGAACCATGGCAGTTGATATGCTTCCAGGGGTGTTTAATCCTAGTCTTTCTGTCAGAAGAAGGGTCAGCTATGTGTGTGATGAACTCAGGCTCATTGCCACACTTAAGGAGAAAATGACAGAAAGGTAAACCAGGAGGAAGCACTAGACTTCAACAAATTTAAAAATGTTGAATCCTATGACAGCAGGATGGAGTAATAATAACAGTTAACATTTATTTAGTGTTTATTGTGTGCTGGTTTCTGGGGTAAGCCCTTAACATAATTATTTTACTTAATTGATTAATCACAAGAACCCTATAGGATAGGTATTTATATTTTACATAGGAGAAAATGGAGGCCCAGAGAGTTTAAGTAACGGGCTGAAATTCACGTAGCTGCTAGGTGGCAGCTGAAGACAGATTAATTCCAGAGCCTGTGCTCTTAACCACCATCTGTTGCAGAGGACGAGGAGTGAGCATCTGACTGGACCTGTGCCTCTGTCACTTCCAGCATCATCATCTTCGCTAACACAGAGGATTTGCTCTATATGAGGCACTGATCTGTGTCCTCTCTCCATTAACTCACTCTTAGAACTACATAGCAAGAGAAATACTGTTATTAATCCCATTTTACAAATAAGGCATAGTGAGGCACAGGGAGGTTAGGTGACTAGCCACAGTCATGAAGCCTGCAGGTGGCAGAGCTTGGGCATTTATCCTGGCAGCTGGGTTCCAGAGTCCACCCTCTTATCCTTGATGCTATACTAGCCTCTCACATAGAGGAATTATCCAAACCGAAGTACTCATGTAAGGACTGTGTCTATGATAAATTACAGCAAGTTTTGATCACCCTCCTACAGGGTTTCTGCTTCATTGAGTAGAAGATGTACGTCTTTCACATTCGTAAGTTTACTCATTCCTTTCCTTAAATATAATGTTTTAAAAAACTCATTGATTTGTTATGCCTTTACAATCCTTTTCAGATTATCGCCTGCTGCGAAAGCACTGTTGAGCTCTCTATTACATTTAGCATAGTGCTATAAGAGGCTTTAAACTATTCTTTAAGACACCCTTCTGAGAATCGTCACTGATTACATATTCAAAGAAAGAGTTTCTTTGAGAGCCTTGGTAAAATGAAGTAATTTTGTTAGAACCTGACCTTGCGTTGTGCTGGATTAGTTGTCTTGCTTTCATATATTTCAGTACATGGCCTCCTGCACTTGTGTTTAAGCAGAAGTCAGTCAAGGTGGGGAAAAAGATGCTGCCAAGCATGTGGAAGACTCAAGGGTCTGCAATGGTGTTTGATGGAAGCTCTTGTCTCTCAGGGATCCTAGTCTCTGTTCCTTTAATTCTTTTTCCCCTAGAGACAAGGTCTCACTCTGTTGCCCAGGCTGGAGTTCAGTAGCCTGATTGTAGTTCACTGCAGTCTCAAACTACTGGGTTCAAGTGATCTTCCTGCTTCAGCCTCTGGAGTAGCTGGAACTACAGGTATGTGTACCACCATGCCCATCTAATTTTTTAAAAATTTGTTTTGTGGAGATGGGGTCTCACTATGTTGCCCAGGCTGGTCTCAAACTCCTGGCCTCAAGCGATCTTCCCACCTCAGCCTCCCAAAATGCTGGGATTACAGGTGTGAGCCACTGTGCCCAGCCTGTTCTTTGACTTCTGTTGGAGAATATGCTGGGCCTGGATGAGTGGCTGAGGATACCACATGAGCAGCCCTTTTACCAGATACTCTGGGGCTTGGACCCACCAAAATTTTCACCAAATGAATTATTATAACAATTCAAAGCTTATCTTTGTTCTACTACAGTATGAACCAACTTTATAGGGAAGGTCTGAGCCTTTGTTCCTTTTTTAATATAGGTAGATAGACTATGGCAATATGATTATTCGCCCAAGGACAATGCTGCCTTTAATCCTCTTGGCTTGCTGTGGCCTCTGTGGGCCATACCTCAGTGGTACGGAAGGGTAGATGGCTGTCTGTCTCTTGCCCTTTATATCAAGTACATAAGTTAAATGGAGTTTCAGTTTTTTTCTGTGACTCCACGAGGCCTACCCTGTTCGTCTCATATTAAAAAGCACCCTATATAAAAAAAATCACCAATACTCCTGGTTCCCCATATCAGACTCTCCATTTCCTTTATTCCTATTGAATTTATTACATTATACTGCTATATATTTTTCTTATTTATTATATTTAATGTTTATTGTCTGTTCCTTCCTCTCTCCAACTAGAATATAAACTCATGGGTACAAGAATCTTTTTTTCATTGAAACATCCCAAACACCTAGTACCTATGTAGTAAGGTATCAATAAATAATGAATGAATACTTTTGATTAAAATCAAACTTTGTTCAAGTCTAATTAGAAACAATCCAAACAACTGGTTTGGGAACTAGAAATATACTCTTTAAAAGCTTTTTCTTTTCTCAGCATTTGAAATAATTAGGTATAGTATAAAAGCTGTCCATGCCTTACCTTGAAAACCATTTTTAAAATCAGCTCCACTTGGTAAGAGGTCTGGAGTGTATTCGCTGTAGCCACCTACATAAAATTGACTGAAGACATTGAGACCAACCAGTCTTCCTGGGGCGATGATGGATTTATTTTTATGATCATCTACCTTCAAAAGGAAAAAAATTCAAAGCCTATTTAAAAAGGAATTAATTCCTCAGGGTAAACTGTTAAGATACTCTTTTGTTATTTCCCAGTAAACTTGGCATGAAAAATTTACAAAGACCTGAATTTTGAAGAAATAAGAAACACAACACCACTCAATTCTCTGCTTCTCTGCTGGTGTCTGTTACCATGGATATATTAATATAGCAGTTATGGTTTTGCATTTCAATCAAAATCACAGTTCTTCAAAGATTAGGAGCTGGCATCCTGCTGATCTTCCTCCATCTAGCCTTGTCCCCTCTCCTGTCAGTTCTCAATACAACCACCAGAGTCATTTATCAAAAATAGAAATCAACCATGGTGCCCAACCCCCGCTTCTTAAGTAGTTCTCCATGGCTCTTTGGATAAAAACCTGAACTTCTTAGCATGACATCGAAGTCCTTGGATAATATAGAACCTTGTCTACTTCTAACCACATCTTTTGCTCCTCAATCCCGCTACCTGAAAACCACACTAAACTCCTTGCATTCCTTAAGCTCATACTGGCCACTGTTCTTTCCCCTAACGCAAATTTAAAGTTATGCTCAAGCATCACCTTTTCTGGGAAGCATATCCTGAACCTTCTTTCTCACCCTTATCTCTGTTAGTAATTCCTCTTATTTATTCTCACACCATTAAGTGTAATCATCTCTCTATTCCTCTATTTAGTGCAATAGTCTGTGAACTTCATGGATACCGACATCATGGCCTGTTCGCCTCTGTACTTGAGCATGGACCCGACAATATACTAGTGCTCAGTAGTTTGTGGGGCAGATGAAGGAATGATTCTTTACCTTCAGCCAGCCCATTTGGAAGAACCTCCCCAGTCGGACGGTGTGGATTCCAAGGCTCAGATCGAGGGGCTCACTCCTGACAGTTGCTATGCCAGAGCCCAGGTTATAACTATAAACCACGCTGCCGTTGAGCAGACCCACTGCCAGGAAGTCATCGCCATTCAGCCCTGGAAGGAGAAGACGCATGAGGAATGCTCGCTGAGGGGAAATTCAGGAGTCCGGTCAGCTTCGTTTTATTGTCTGGTTCTGCATTATGGATCAGTACGGTAAGTTATAATAGACATTTAGCCTCTTGTTGGCACTCAGGTATGTGTGCAACCAGCTATTATTATTCACACCCCCAGAAGCTGTCTAAGTATTAAGAGTTTATTTCTCTGAAGCCATGAGGATTTTCGTCAACCCAGGCAATGATCAATGATCAACTAAAAAGTTGTATGGAAATAAAATCTCCTTTTTTTCTGAGTGAAATTCAGTGTGCCCTTTACAATAAGGAGAACTTTACAATGGAGTAGAACTGCTCTAGTAGTTAATGAGATTTGAAAGGCCGACGTAACCTAGCATCGGCTTTGAAATTCTCTCTATGATTTGAGAAGAGTGTAAAGAACAATTTATTCCTGTGGTTGCTCAGAGTATGTTATCATTGTTCTATTGCAAAAGCTCTTAACCATGCCCCATGACCAGTTAAAGGTGAGTTGTTTCTGTGTTTCCTCTTCTCTCTGACCAGTTAAAGGTGAGTTGTTTCTGTGTTTCCTCTTCTCTCTCTCCCTCCCTTAGTTCAGGGCTATTCGTGCAGCACAGTGAGTTGTAGGACCCAGAGCCCTCAGGAAACAGCTAGTGTAGACCCATGGGGAAAGGGAAGTGGTTGGGAGATACCCAGTATTAGTCACTGGGAAAGGGCCTGGCAGTAGGCTTGGTGGGATTAGGAAGTTCTGGGATAATCAGTGGGTGTAGTGCAAGAGGTCTGTTCATAGGGAGCAGGGACTCAAATATGTCACCCAGTTTCTGAAAGGTATGTTTGTGGGTGGAGTAAAAGAAGAGCTCAATATTGAGGCTTGTGGACAGGAAACTGAGGCAAAGACTTCTGCTTAGAGGAAGAATATAAGGACCCCATAGAAGTAAGAGGTTTAACATAAAGGAAAAAGCAGAAGTGAGTCCTTGGACATGGACAAAATTTGTTATAATATTAGTATGAACGGCCTCCCCTTTCTGCACTTGTAAGGGTGATGCTTTGCCTGCTGACTTGGCTTCTAGTGTTAATTTGTTCAGATCTGCAGGGATGGAGGTTTCCAGAGAGTGTCAGGGGAAGTGGGTTTTCTCAGGCACTGGAAAGTGGAAGACAGAAACGTTATTTTGAGATACTTGAACGCTGCCTCTGCTTTTCTAAAGTGTCTGCCATGGACCCTGAGCTGGGTTATTTTTGAGAGCTCTCTAGGTGAGTCTGATACACAGCCACTGTTGAGGGCAACTGTTCTGCCAGACCATTGCCGAATACATTGGGAGCTTATAGCAAGTCTCTCTCCTTCTCTCCCTCTCTCTGGTGATTTCTTCCCACTTGCAATGCTGCAGCAGGTGAGCCAGGTTGTATATTTAAGATGGAAAGAACTCCCAGGAGAAAACAGATTCAGGAAGGCAGTTAGCAAGGCAGAAAGGAGAAAAACCATCACTAGAGATAGGAGACAGTCTTTCAGGCTGCTGCTGGGGTATGGAAGAAATTGTGAGAGATGGCTGTGGAAGGAGAATTGTGAGATTTTTCTGTGGGTTGTGAATGGGGATCTTTCTGAGAGATTCTGGTGGGGATCTGAATTGTCTTTCGAATTGCCCAGGCTACTGGAATGAAGATGGTATTTGGCTAAACCTTAAGGTGGTAGGAGGGCAGATTTATTTGGGCCATAACCTTCTTTCATTTCTGTCTTGTTTTCTCTCCTTCTTCCTCCAGTTATTGAAATAATATTTCATGCCAGGAGCTACATTATCCTCAGGCCCTCAGCAGCCTGGTTAGGAGACAGGAGGTTTGTTTCAAGCGCCATGGGGAGCAGAGTAGGAGCAGCAGTGGGGATCGGCATTAAGATGGGGTGGGGGCCGGGGCTCACGCCTGTAATCCTAGCACTCTGGGAGGCCGAGGCGGGTGGATCGCTCACGGTCAGGAGTTCAAGACCAGCCTGAGCAAGAGCGAGACCCCCGTCTCTACTAAAAAATAGAAAGAAATGATCTGGACAACTAAAAAAAAATATATATATAGAAAAAAAAATAAGCTGGGCATGGTGGCACATGCCTGTAGTCCCAGCTACTTGGGAGGCTGAGGCAGGAGGATCGCTTGAGCCCAGGAGTTTGAGGTTGCTGTGAGCTAGGCTGATGCCACAGCACTCACTCTAGCCTGGGCAACAGAGCAAGACTCTGTCTCAAAAGAAAAAAAAAAAAAGATGTGGGGAGGAGGGTGAGGATATGCAAGCAGGTGATTCTTGAGCAGCATTCTGAGCTAATCCAGAAAATGACAAGCAAAAGTTTGTTAGATGAGAAAAGGGCGGTGCTAAAGCGTGCTGCCTGCAGTAGAGAGAATAACGTTGCAGCGACCCAGAAAGGGCGGAGAAGAATGTGTGCTGCTTAAAGGACTGCTGGGACCTGAGACTGGCTGGTATTTAGAGTCTCGCAGGAAAGGGAACTGAAAAGGCAGAAAAAACTATGCCTTTAAGGGCCTAGTATGCTATAATGAATGATTTAAATATTTTACCAGAGACTCTCAGGAATCATGAGAGGATTTTGAATGAGAAATCTGGACGTTAGGTGGCGCTCATAGTAATGTTGAGGACAGAACATAGTGGCAGATAAAGAGCCTCATTGGAAGGTCACTCAAGTGACTCAGAAGACAAAAGAATAACGTCTAAACACATTAAGGTAGTGGCAGAGGGTACAGAAAAAAAGGGGAGGAATTTGTTCATGATTTGGGAGGAGAATTTGAAAGGACATATCATTTGGATGAGGAGTTGAGGAAAAGGGAGGAGTTGAGGGAGGTTCTGCAGAATCCAGCTTGAAGAGCCAGACACAGTGCCAGGATTAGTCCTGGAGCGAGGAACCTAGGAAAGGAGCAGTCTGGGGAAAGAGGCCGACTGCAGTTTATAGGCACCCCGGCCTACAGACATGTCCCAGAGCACAGGAGGAGGCGATAGGGAGAGCCAGGGAACCAATCAGACCATTAGCACCCTATTCCCACACGATGAGTCCATCAGGTGCTTTGCTTTCTTCTGCTACTCCTTCCACTCTGGCCCTTCCCTCGGTGTCAACTCCGCTGGTGAGTGACGGAGTAGATAAGAGAAAGAAAAGCAGCTGACTACCAGAGCCAGTTCAGCCTAGAAGATGAACAGTATTTGAGGACTTGGAATTGCTCTAGGGTGGTGTTTCCCATACCTGGAAGTCCACTACAATATTCACTCAGGAAGTGTGTCAAAAATACAGACGCTAGAATCTACCTCATACCACCTTTCAGAGAATCTGTGAAGCTAGATCCAGGAAATATTTTTTGTTTTGTTTTGAGATGGGTTCTTGCTATGTTGCTCAGGCTGGTCTTGAACTCCTAGGCTCAAACAATCCTCCTGCCTCAGCCTCCCGAGTCACTGAGATTACAGGTGTGAGCTGCCACACCTGACTTGCAGGAGATATTTTTTTAATAAGCTCCCCAGCTGTTTTTTAACGAGGACTGACCAATATTAGTAACTTTAGGAGGGCCAGGGCATGCAACCTGTGCTGTTGTATGCGGCTTTGAGTTCAGAAGAGCCCTGTTACTTGGTTTAATGCTGTCACTGTCTTGAAATTCTTAATACTTTGAACAGTGTTTTGAAAGTGAAGTCCATGGGACAACAAACATGAGCAGGAACAGAGGAGATATATATACATACAATATGCATCTGAGGCTGTCTTTGCAGGGAGCCTTTGCAGGTAGATGAAACATTGAAACCTGTCAGGGAAGGAGACCTATCTTAGGGTGTGTGGAGTGTTGCTGATACACACATGGACCAGTAAAAGTCACGTGGCTTTTAGGTGGGAGAGTCTGTATTGGAAGACAGCCTGATTCCAGAGCCTGTGCGTTTAACTACTGTTCGTGCAGCAGAGAAAGAAAAGCAAGTTTCTAACTTAGGCTGTGTCCTCCTCTCCCACCTTCAGCATCCCCTCTGGAATGCTTCTCTCTGAGGATTAAGGAGGGTAATAATATCTCAAGATTTTTCTAAGGATTAAGTGGGATTTAATGTGTAAGCATCGGTGCATAGTGGTACTCAATAAGTGTATGTTTCTTTCCTTTTCCCCATGACTACAGCCTGACTTTAATTTTGTGGATTCCATTTTCTTCTCCTGCTTTGTGAATACAAAATCTGGAAAGTAGGTATTCCTGGTTCCTATACTGGAGCACACATCTGCTCTCAGTTAACCATCAGGGTTGGGGACAGCAGCACAGTATTTCTTTTTTTCTTAAAGTGAAATCCATGATTGCTTCAGTATATTGCTCTGATCAACTAAAAAATTTTTGAAGAGTCAACCATAGAAGTGAAATGAAATGACTTGAAGACATAGTTTGCTAGCATCCCTTTATATGTCTTATGTCGCTCTCCTGAAATTTCTTGTAATGGGAATTTCTTGGCTTAACAGCATATAATAGTATAAGCAACAGCATAGTCAAACCACCACCAGTGTTATACAATTGAATAACTTCATTCTCAAATTCAGTGTTCTAGTAGGACATTAGTCTATGAGTGGCTTTGGGAAATATGTGGGCAATTTATATTTTTACATTTGTCAATTCACAAAGCAACAGGTGGTATTCCACATTTTTATTATATACAGATATTTAGCAATTGGCATGGTGAGAGTTTTTTCATGAAAAGAATTGGAAGTAAGCTTATTCGGTATGCAGAACACAAACCTACAGTGAATTTTAATGAAACCAGGCTTAGGAAGATTTTCAGACAAGGCAAGGGATACTTGTTGGATATTACTTCAGAGCTGGTGCTAAGAAGGAAGGATTTAGAGAGATTATGTTGTGCAAGTGGTAAAAAGGGGAGGAAGGAAACAATAGACAATGACTCTACATGAATAGTATTTAAGGGTAACAAGATCTAGGAAGTGAATAGAAATCCTTTTAGAACACACAGAAAAACAAACTGGGTCTCTCTTTGGCTAG